GGAAGATGTTGATAGGCTTATTGGATTCAGCTGTGAGTCACTATTAACAGTTAATTGTGATGGTGAAATCTGTTATTGGAACACATAATTGTGTATAGAAGACATAACAGTCTTGAACTTGGTAGTCTATATTTAAATATTATATTTAAAATTTTTATTTATTTAAATAAATAATATTCAGGGGGAAAGTCTTTGAAAGGCCATGCAGCAGTGTTAAAAGCTAAACTTTTTCATGTGAACAGGGGACTAAACATAAAGAGCGTGACAGAGAATACCTTGGGACTGGGCAGAGTACCCAAGGTGAAGAAAGAGGATGGGGAAGGGATTCAGACTTCACTGGAGACAGTTTTAGCTACTGGACGAGGAAATGGGCTGGCTTGTCCAGAGCCAGAACTGGTCTAGTCATGTCTGGGAGTGGCCACAGGAAACATCTGTCCAGAATGCAGGTGGGTTAAGATGGGGAACCAACTGATTGAATTCCTGTCCAAGGCCAGTGAGCTTTGTGCTCAGAGTGGAGCCCAGTGACTGGATTCCCTATTGTAAGGATGAGACGGGGCTTCTAGGTGAAGGAAACAGCTGAGATCATAACAACACAGACAGAGGTAAAGACATCACACAAAAAAGGAGAACTGTCCCAGGGTCTTTAACACAATGCAAGATGAAAATGAAAATTGTTAGCCATAAAATACTTTGACATATCTGGTCCAGTACTACTCATTCTTGCTTCTAACGCTTTTCAAGGGTGGCAACACAGGTCTTAAATATAGCAATTGTTAGACTCATATATTTGCATACTATGTACATGTATGAAACTGGCAAATTATGCCTAAGCTATAAGTGGATGGTTTCCATTTATTCAAATAGCTATTAAAATAAGGTTTTCTGGAATAAATAATTTCAGTGTCACATCCAGAGGTGTGGGGTTCAATAGGTGCAATTGCACAGTTGAGATATATAAAGATTACAATAAAGTCATAGAGCATGAGAGCGATAGAAGATTAAATAAAGAAGTCAGACACATTTCATGGTAGCATGCTCACCTCCTGGATGGCCATGATCCTACCAGCGAGGTCCTCGCACAGCATGGGCCGAGGTGAGGTGGGGCGAGAAAGCCAGGATCCCCGTTTATTGCTAACCAAGGCTTATATCTACTTAGGGGGCATGATTACAGGTAACCACACACATCACAAGAAGGGGCTGAGCTAGGGGTATACACATGATAGGAAGGGGAGGGACTAGAAGTATACATGTGATAAGATGGGTGCACTCTAGATTCATGATGGTGCCTAACATTGGTTACCCTTGGGTGGGCTTGACCTCTCTGGGGTCTCCTACAAGGAAACAGTCAACTGCTATCCTTATCAGAAGAGAGTGGGCCCTACTTGTGGGATAAACAGTGGTGTCTGCTTGCTCTGGATGGCTGATAACCCTTAGGGAGAATAGCCCTTGACCTACTTCTGTTGACCTCCAAGTGTGGCAAGCAGCTAAGTTAGGCACATGCTGGGGGAGACAACTTGAGAGAAATCCTTCTGTTTCCCACACAGAGGGTGTCTTGCTCTGAGGAAGGAAGTGTGTGCCTCCAGAGTTAGATTCAGCAGGAGACACATACTGTGGCTGGTATCAGCTTAGTCACTGTTGAAACAGAGGGAGGTGACTGCTAAGAATTTACGTGTGTGAAGTGCTTCAGCCTCCCAAGATGCCATAAGCTTTGCAAAAGTACTTAGCAACGATAGATGTCAACAGATTGCCATTTATTTACTCTTTCATTCAATAATTTGAAAAAGCATTTCAGTATTGTGTGGTTTTATTTTAATACTTTTTCTCTTTCTGAACTTGGATTTGTATATGGGCAACTGAAGGTCTGTTTTGAAATCAGCCCCTGTCCTCGTTCTGAATGCTGACATTGAGCTCCTTCATCTCTTTCCATAGATGTAGTTGATTTGATTCTTGAGTATTCTCTCTAGCTAAGTCTACATGTGTAGTGCTGTTACATTGTTGAAAATAGGTACTTGCAACAAATAAGTCATTATTCATTGTAACAATAAGCTGTAAAGTTTTATCATGCAATCTCCAAAGTAATTTCTAGATTTCACAACCTAGACAGCAAAATGCACACTAATTCAACAGTTTCCACAAGTACAATTGTGACATTAATTATATTACTCAAGGCGTTCAACCATTCTCACCCACCTTTTCTCAGTTCTTCCTTCTTCACTTGTGGAGGACCACCCTCCCCAAACGGAATGGGTTGTAAGGGACAGCTTTGTAATTAAAGGGTAAATTAAAGAAACATCAGACAAGACATTTAAAGGCTCACCTCTTCCTTGGAGATTAGAACCAGAGAGGGAACGAATGAATTCTCCGACAGGCTTATACAGTCTTGGGCTAGCAAGCCCAGTAAGCACATATGTAACAGGAAGGGGGTGTACTAGGGGTATACACATGATAGGAAGGCACATACATAGGTGGGCAGGTTCTAGAGTGAAGATGGTGGCTTAACCTTGGTGGTCCCTGATCTTTTTTACAAGTTAAGCTTAACTAATATTTGGTTTTCAGAAAACTTCAGAGTTTATTTTTGGTTTAAGGAATACCTCAGGGCAATAGCTTCAGGGGTATATAAAACCTCCACAACTCCAGGAAGTCTAGTTTATGAAAATTTGAAACTCTGTTCTACATTTCCCTTCTTTTCATCAGGGGTCTTCTATGGAATCTTTAATCAGTAATAATAGCCAGGTGCCATCCACCTCTTCCAGATTAATGATAAAAGAGGCAATAAGTTATGTATTTTATCTTCCTCTTATTCTTAACTCTCCTTCTTCCTAGATTACTCCAGGTATATAGAGACCAGTTGTTGTCCCTTGGATGAATACTTGCAAGCTAAGACCCCCAGGTATTACGTAACAAACTAGGAGACAGAACAGAAGCACTAAACATGTTATTAGGGCAATTAATTGGAATGTCCCATGAAACCATGACCTTAAATCTCCAAACCAAGAAACCAAATCCCTTGAAGTATTTGGGTGTTCATAAATAGTCTCTTTTGCTACTCTTTTTTCCCTTCATTATTGTATATATATAACACAACTTTTTCCAGTTCAACTTTTTCCAACTGTACAACATGTTAACAGCAATTACAATAATTGTCTCATTTACTCTTAAATCAACCTTTCTCTTGTACATGAAATTGTTCAGGGGAAGACCTATCCACTGCTCACCAATTCATTGTCCCATCTGATGATCTCAATGCACGGTGATATATTTATCTCTACCCTTAGTCTAACTGGTTTATCTGATCTGCCATGACAAGTATCACGGGCTTTACCTATTGGGCCATGTATGTAGCTTGTTGAATGTTTCAAGGACACTGGTGCCTTTCCTGAGGGAGTGGTATGTTAACCTGGGTTTCTCCAGAGAAGCAAAATCATATATATGTATATAATGAAAAAATGTTTGCATCAAGAAATGACTCAGAGAGTTGCAGGAGCAGTTAAGTCTGCTTCAAGTCTGTAGGTCAGATATTAAGCTGGAGGCCTTTCCTGACTTACATAGGCTAGGGCTGATGAACCAGGAGGCATAAAGATAAACCACAAAACAGGAAAGTGGTGGAGGCTGAGGCAGATGATCCCAAGATCAGCTTGTGGCTGCAGGGTCCAATGAACCCACGTTAGCCAGGAAATAGGACAGGCTGCTCAGAGTTCCCCTAGTCAGTAGTCAGTGTGGTGGGTTAATGAAGGCAGTGGCAGAATTCGAATCAGCAAGAAGGGAGAAACTTTCCCAGAGTCTGTTTAATAGGAGTGGGTTCCACCCCAGGTGTGCGAACTGAAAGGTATGCAAGTGGGTTGTATCTTCTCACCATACCATATTCTTGATTAAAGATTGGAAAGAATTGAATGTCTTGATCAAGGGCAATGTAGCTGAGAGGAATTACTGAAACGCAAAGGAAGGCTGAACATGACAGTGGGGCAAGAGGAAGGTAAAAGGAAATAGAGGAAAAAACTAGGAGATAAAGGACATGTATAAAGGTCTAAATATAAGCATGTACATGTGTAAATATATTTATATATAACAATAAGGAAATTTGGGGAGAAGGAGAGGGATCCCCCACAAATCATCACAGGTCCGGTAGGCGCAATTTTACAGTGATAATAAGTAAAGATTATAGTAAAGTCATAGAAAGCATGAGAGGGAGAAGATAGAATCAAGTAATGGAGTCAGACACAATTAATTCATGGTAGCATGCTCACCTCAGCCCTGCTTGATGGTCCTTGTTG